AAAGTTTTTTACGAGGTTTCGCTATGCAGTTCAGACTCATAGTAATCCTCCCGTTTTAGCCTCTCCAGCCCTGGGATTACAGGTGTGGACCACCATGCCTGGTTCCGGGGCCACATGGCAGGTTCTGGGGGCAGTATAGCATGAGGTATTGAACTTTGGTCCATGTGCTTGCCAGGTAGGCACTTAGACCACTGAGCTATCTCCCCAAACCCTTGAGCTCACTTTGTAGCCCATGCTGGTCTCAAACTCAACAAGGATCCTCCTGCCTTAGCCTCCCAGTGCTGGAATTATAGGTGTTTGCCACTAGCCATCAAGACTGAACTCAAACTCCTGGGTTTAAATCAGCTTCCTGCCTCAGCTTCCTGTGTAGATGGGAGCATATGTGTACCACCATGTTCTGCTCAGTTTTTTCCTCTGGTGCTAGAGATCATGCTCATGACCTTTTCATATGCCAGTCAAATGCTGTACTCTAAGCTGCACTTTCAGCCCTGTAGTCATGATTGCTGATTTCTCTTTGTGTCACCTCCTCAGTCTCAGCCATAACTGAGTGTCCTGGTTCTCTGTCTGGTGTTGTCATCCCCTCCCCAGGAGCCTTGGTCTCTGGATTCTTTGAGAAGGCTCCTGATTGTGGGGTTCTCTGCAGCCATGAGGGCTCAGAACCTTTCCTTGTAGCCTGGATGCTTGGAGGACTGCAATCTAGCCTGGCTCCTGGGCTGTGGTCTCCTGCATGTGCTGGGCCTGTCTTCCAGTGCCCAAGCTGGATTCGGTTCTGATCGCTGCATCAGAGGTCTTGATGAGGTGCTTGGTGCTCAGGTGGGCTCCTTGGCTCACCTGTCACTGGTACATGAGGCTGCCTCAACTTACATGGCTGTGGTGGCAGGTGCTGGACCTGCTTAGGCTTGGCCAATTGCTTCTCTGGCTTGAATGCCTTTTCTGCACCCTTGCAGCTGTGCACTCTGGGAACTGCTGGCCTCTTTCTAGCCCTGCTTCCAACCTCCCAGCTGCTCCAGGAGCTCTCCAGAAAGACTCCGTTATGGGATCACATGAGGACAAAACCTGTGTGCTTTGGACCCACTAGCCATGTCATGGCACCGTGCTTGCAGGTCTTCCTGATGTTTCTCATCAGTCCCTCCCTTCCCACCTGGCTCCTTTGTCTTTTGCTTATGAGCCTGAACTGAGGTCTAGCTCCCCATGCCCACGTTCTAGAGCCTCGGCTCATCTGACGCCTCATGGGGTAATGCTGTGTCCTGTTCTGCTCCAGAGAAGCAGGAAGTGACAGTCTTGGAGTCCTACAAGCTGCCCACCTCACTGCTGTACGGGGCTGACTGGTCTTGGCTCCTCTTCCATCCCCTGCGGCCAGTGCCTGCATCCCTTGACGGTGACACGGGAGACCAGGTCTGTGAGCTGAAAGTTGCAGGTGAGCCATTGGCACCTTGACCTGAGCAGATAAGAGGGTGAGGATGGCAAGCAAGGGTGGTGCCAGAGATATCAGCTGAGCGAAGATTCATTCTTTTTTTCCTTTTTGCCATTCATAGAGGATGTGTGGAACAGCAACAGCCAGCCACACATCCAGCCAAGTTCTGTGACTCTGATCTCTACCTTGAAGAGGCAAATCCTGACAGCAGGCTTCTGGCCACCTGCTCTTTTTATGACCACACACTCAACCTCTGGAGGTGGGAGGCCAGCTGAGCTTGAGATCACAGAGACCTACACCAGGAGCGGTAGTCTGTTGGCCTGTTGGGAATGGACTGATTTTTTTTTTTTTTTTTTTTTTGTGGAATGGGGGATTGAACTCAGGTCCTTGCGCATGCCAGGCAAGCGCTTATTCTACTGAGCCATCTCCCCAGCCCCTGAGTGATTCTTTTTGGCAGAGTGGGATTTTCCTTCTCCAAAACTTGTTTCTTGAGTACATCTTGACTTTAAATCCTTCCCAATGTATTTAAGCAACTGTTTGTATTAATTAAATGAATGTTTTGAAAAAAAAAATGTTACTTTAAAACAAATAATTTTGTAACTGGATGAATTTCCTTTTTGTGTGGTACAACAAACCAGGGCCTTGTACATGAGATACACCCCCCAACCTGGAAGTATCTTTAAAAGCACATGAAAAGACCACTTCCTTCTGTGGGAGAGCAAAAGAAAGAGGTCCATGTATACTTCTGAACCACCTCAGGTCATACTTGGAAGCAGGTGGAGGCAGTGTAGGCACTAACTGTATTCACAAACTGATGGGCTCTGAAGTCCTGGACCCACAGCACCTGGAAACACAGGTCAGGCGTGACTCATCCAGCTCCCACTTTTGAATGCTGTCTCTAGGAGCGAGGGGGCCAGACTGACAGCCGAGTTGTCAGTCCCCAGCACTTCATAGGTGACACTAGCACCAGAAGACAGGTAGTTCTACACTTGTCTTATTTTCTGATGATGGAACATGCTAGTGTAGGTCAGGTTGATTACAGTTTTGTTATAAGCAATTCCCAGCTAATGGCCCTTTTATTTGTGGTACTAGGAACTGAATCCTCAGCCTTCCTCCAGCTAGATAAGTATTGTGCCACTAAACTGTATCCCCATCCTATTTTACAGTTCATAGAGGTTTCACTTTCGTAGGCTGGCGTAGAACTCGCTAGTCTCCTGCCTCAACCTCCTGAGTGCTGTGAATTACAGATGTGTGCTACCATGCCCAGTCAGCTGGCCCATTTATTTCATTTTCCTGCCTTACTGAGGATCAAACTCGGGACCTTGCACTTGCCAGGCAGGCACTTATGCTGCTGAGCTATATCCCCAGCCCTGGCCTATTTATGTTAAATAAAAACATGCTGGGACCTCCTCTAGAGAATGTATTGTGTTTTTGAGACAGGGTCTCACTATACAGTTGAGGGTGGCTTTGAACTCACTTTGTAGCCCAGGTTGGTCTCAAAGCCACAGCAATCTTGCTGCTTCAGCCTCCCAATTGCTGGAATTACAGATGTGCACCACCACACCTTGCCTAGAGTTTGTGGGAGATACTTCATGTAAAGGTCAGCTAAGTATTCTGGAATAAAGGTCTGAGGGATTGTAACCAAGTAGACAAATGAAATATTGATCATCAGAGACCAATTTGGTGCCAACTTCCTGTGCAGCCTGGTTTTCTCCAAGGGGATGGTTATTTTTCACCCAGTTAAAAAATAGCCACTGTAGGGGCTAGCTCAGTGGAATAAGCGCTTCCCTGGCAAGCGCAAGGACCTGAGTTCAATCTCCGGTTCAAAAAAAAAAAAGTCATTGTCTTGCAGTCCATAGAGAATACACCAGTTCTTGCTTTGGGGAATGTATTAGCCAGTGTTACCTACGGTGGCCTACCTAGTACATTCTCACTGGTATAAGCCTAGCGTGGGAAGGCTGAAAGACCTGTTGCCACAACTATATGAAACCTCTCTGTATGATCAGCACGAGATCTGTTAGGTGGCGCTGTCAATCGCCTGAGGCCAAACACACAAGACAGCAGAAAAGGCCTTTAATAGAAACTCCACAAAGGAATGCTCCCACTTCTCTGGGACAAATCTGAGACTGGGTCAGTGCAGTCTCTGGTTCATAGGCAAACCTATGGTCATCACTGGATTCTAACGTGGAAAGTTCTTGGGATACAGCTGGAAGAGCTTGCCTTCCTGAGTAGGCTCAAAGCCGTACTTTTCCAGGTTGTCAGGATCGAAAGTACCTTCGTTGAAGTCCTTTTCGATAGCGGGTGCAACTGTTTCCATGAAGAGGGCTTTGGCTGTCAGTGGCGTGTCTGTGCCCTCTGGAGCGCGGTAATTCACATAGGGCTTGAGCTTGAAGCCAGTCAGGTTTGGGACGATAAAATCTGGAATCTGTTCCTTTATCTGCACGAACTTCCAGCCCGGGGCGTGGACACCCGTTCCCTTGGCGCCCCGGCCCTTGTAAAAGGTGCGGGGTCCCCGCTTGCTTGTCCACTTGCTCATCCTGTCCGCCCCTCGCACTAGGCCTTGAGTCACTGAGGTCAGGAAGCCCATGCTGTACTCTGTGGGAAGGGAGTGCTCAGAAAGACCCAGGCCGGAGGAAGACCCTGAGGATTGAGGACGCCGGGCCCCCCGCCCAGAGCGCAGAGTCCGAGGAAGACCCTGGACGAAGGGGACGTGGTGCCAAATGTAAACGAAAGGACTAACCTGGGCAGACGGCTCTCAGCCCGCGCCTCAACGCCCGGAAGCTCCGAGGCGCAGCGGCACCGCTACTCGGCGACCCGGGGGCGCTTTCGGATGACGTAGTAACCGAGCAACAAGAGAAGCTCAGATTGGCCGCTGCCGCGCCAATGCGCAGGTGCTCGGGGGCGGGGCCTCGGAGCCCCCATGAGAGTGGCTGGACGCGTGGAGCGCCGGGAGCGCGGACGTCACAGCGGCGGGGGCGGGGCGGGGCGGGGCGGCGCCGGAGCGTGCTAGCCGGTGAGTCAGCGCCCTGCGCCTCGAGCTGGCCGTCTCGGGTCCCGCCCAGTGGGGGAGGAGTCGCCCTTTGCTCCCCTCGGCGCTGCTACGCCGCCCAGCCGCGTGATCTGGGCTGCTGGACCGGCTAAAGGCGTCAGCTGCCGTCAGGACAGTTCTGCGTTGTCCCCTGCGGCTACCCAGTGTCCTCCAACGCTGTGTCCCCCTCACCCCTCGATGTCACCCTCACTCCATCTCGTCATGCCTCCGCAGTGCCCCCTCACCTCCTGCATTTCCCTCTTAACCCACATTGTGTCCCCCTCACCCTCCAAGGCTGTAGTGTCCCCTTATCCCTTCCAGCTCCCCCTCCCTCCATGTTCCCCTCACTTCCCGCGGTGTCCCGTCACATTCAGCAATATCCTTCTCATTCCCCCATGCCATGTCCCATGGTGTCTCCCCACCAGGCCCCTCAGTCTCCGTGTCCAGTGGTGTCCCCCTCCCTGCTCTTTGGGATATCCTTTTGCACTACCCCTTTGGTGTGTCTTTACCCCCCCCCCCGTCGTTCCTTGCACTATTTGGCACCAAGAGGGTGCTGCCTTCTGTGCTGTTGACCCTCCAAAGCTAGGCCTAACGTGGCCTGAACCCCTACAGCTGGGACCCACCATGACCCCCTCTAGTCCTGCCCCCTTCTGGGCCATGCCCCTACTCTGCCTGGCCTTGGCCCTTGCACTTTCCCCCTTCTGAGCCATGCACCAGCTACACCCTCCGCCCCATCTGGAACAGGGCCTGGACTGCCTGTCCCAACCCGGTCCTGGCGCTGGGCCCAGTTCAGCCCTCACTGCTGGGACAGCGGCCATTGCCTGGCTTCCTCCAGCTCTGGCCACGTGAGCTCTGTTTACCAGAGGCTTCTCCCAGAGGCTGCTCTTCTCCAAGAATGCTTCTGTGACTCGCTGCCCTGGGACCCTAGAGTGACTTGGGCAGGCACAGGAAGACTGGGCACGCAGGCAGTGGTCGCTGTCTTTTCACCCTTTTTCAGCCATGCAGGAAGAGGAAAGCATCTGCCCTGAGGTAGGTGCTCCAGACTAGAGAAGCTGAGAGAACCCCCTTAGAAGTGCTGGCCAGAGAACAGTTTTTCCACATTTTTCTTCATCCTAGACCCCTGGAACAAGAAGAATATGGGCTGGTATAGGGCCTGACACCTTGTCGGGACCGACACTTGCTGACTTCCATGCTTGGGCAGCACAGACGTAGCTGCTGGACATTATGTTTGATGTGTTCTCTTACCTTAAGGTCACAGCTATTTCCACATCTCCTTGGGACTTCACTCACTTTGCTCCAGGGCTTTTCCTCAGTCCAACTCTCTATAGCCATATCCCAAAGGACTTTGTCTCTAAGTCAGGCAAGTAGCCCCGTTAAAGCAGCAGTGAAAAGCTGGACAAGCTGACACTTGCCATCACAGGCAGTGGGAATGGTCTGACCTTGCCTTGGATAAGTGGGCCTGCAAGTGTGCTAAAGGCCCAAGGGAGAGAGGGCTGTGACCAAGCCCTGTTTCCAGCCTGACTGCTGTTTGAGAGTAAGGCCCAGCAACTCACGGCCTACTGCAGGGTTTTTCAGTACTATGGGGGCACCTGTGAGCCCTGAGGCTGGCAGCCCAGGTCCTATTAGTGTCCAGATCTTGGCCTCCCCTGTGCCTAGTGCTTGCCCCTGGTTTGTCCCTTGTGGACTGCAGAGACGAGGGTTCAGGCGTATTGATGGTGCACAGGGCATGTGTTGTGGCAGCTTACCTTATGCCTGAGGAAGACAGATGCCCCTGCAGGTGATGCAGTATGCCTGAGTATCCTGGCCTGGTGGCTCTGGTCTGGGCTCCAAGCTGCCAACCTTCATTCTGGTTGTCCGCTCTCCACCCGCTGCCCAGGTCTGGGAAGCCCAGCTGCCTCTCTGCCCACCTGACTCTGCTCTCCTTCTAGGCTGGCCTCTGTTTGGGCCCTGCCCTGCACTCCTGGGGACTATGGTCTGTGGAAGAGTCACAGCCCACCATGGTAACCTCTGGGCTTTCCTGGGAAGGCCCTGTGGGTCATGACCATTGGCTGCCTTGCCAGTGAGCTCTGTGGCTTTTTTCTGCCCAGCTGACAGGGATTATGATTGGAGTCCTCATGGCCCTTGCCTTTGTGGGTGTTGCTGTCTTGTTTGTATACAGAAGAGTTCATGGATTTCGTGAGTATCTTGATTTAAGCCCTCCTGGCCCTGGGGGAGGATGGGTGTATGTGAGCGTACGTATGTGTGTGTGCACAGCACTGTTGGTTTTGAGCTCCTCGAAAACCCCTCCAGTGCCTGGCTTTTTCGCAGTCTGGGCACAGTTTCAACTTCTGGTCCCATCAGAGACATTTCTTTTTTTTTCTTTTTTCTTTTTTTTCTTTTTT